TCGTATGAGTGAATTAATGTTTTTTGTCGATTTCCCCGTTCGTATTCATTTCCTTCAGCATTTATTGCAGTGCTCCTTTGATTTTAACTATTAGGTCTTTTGCTAGTAATTGATAAGTTGTGTCCTTGAGAATGTCTTCCATTTAATTATATTCTTTCCTGTTTCTCACCACTGTAGCACCTACTTTGTCGGCTTGTAGAACTATCCGATCTTTTGTCCTTTCATTCTATCCCGTCATATCCACTTTATTCTTCTCACCCACACTTTGCGTGGTCAGATCTTACTTATTATACTCCTCATTTGTTCTGATAAAAACTAGTTTTGTTCACTTGAATTGGTTTATTTGAAGGTAGTTTGTCTCATTTCATTTTCTCGACTTATTGATCTCAACTGGCACCTCCATTCGGCTGTCTACTCCGCACAACTCTCATAAGTTAACATAATTTACTAAGATGTTCCACAGGAGTTTTGCTCGTTTTCTATCATTGGGTGCCAAGCTTTACCCATATAGACATGGTTGTTGTGACGTTTTTTCTAGGGCATAGAAGAGTATTTTATTGCATGTTTGGCTAGTCATCCCACGTTTGATAATATAGCGGGATTTCTGATCACTGCTTAATATTTTCATGAATTATTTGAACAACATATCACCTGGGCGTATTTTACTTAGCTACCCTCTCTCTCACCTGCGTGTCTTATTTTGTTCTTCCCTTTTTGTCTCTGTTTATTTCTAAACTTAGCCAACACCCATGTTTCATTTATTCGTGTTTTGCTTTGATTATTTTTTTGGGGTCGCTTAAGCTGATCTAAGGGCTGATTTAAATTTCCCACAGTGGGGTGCAAAGGCTAATGATACCAATGAATTTGACTTAGCCTTTCTTTCCAAAGGACCACAGTCTCGATCTCGCCCGGATCTCAAGCAGCATTTATTTCAGTCCTTACATCAACCTAAGTGTCTCGAACTTTTTGTCAAGGTCTATTTATTGCTTAGAAATGTATTTATTTTGTTTGTATTTGCTCTTATTTTCTTTAGATTATCCTACTCCGTTTTATCCAATCGCATTAGGTATATTAAGATTTAATTATTTATTGTATTTATTTTCATTTTTTTATTTAGGGTCTGATAGCCACACAAAATCTATTCTCCAGGGATCCAATAATTGAATTTCGTGGTGCTTACATGATGCTTGACGAATACACAGAACATTATGACTTCAGGCGACAGTAAGCTAGAGTTTTCTATGTTAACGACTATTTTTGCGGCATTGTTCAACTCAAATATTTTTTATAGCTACAACCCTTTCGCCCTATTCTACAAGAAGGGGGACAAATTGGCTATCTGCGTAGACGCTAAGAATTTTGGTAATGAGGCTCGTTTCATTCGGCGCTCTTGCGAGCCCAACTGCGAGGTAAGCATTTTCCCATGTATAGCTCGTAATACATCTTGTTGATTTTATCGATATACTTGCATAAATTTCGCCCTGGGTTCAATAAATTATGAGAGGATTAAGAAGATAAGAAGCTTTACTAAATTATATTGTGCTTTTCACAAACCTTTTGATTAGTTACGTTACAGCGTTTGCTATATAATAATTATATTGCTGGTCTTGCTTATCCAGCTCAATAGGGGCTGCAGCTTTTACATCAATCAGTAAGTCAGCCTTTACTAAGCCTATTCCCTATAAGCATATCAATAATTAGTTGCTTGGTCTCTAACATTTCTTAAGATCGCCACTGCTTTAAGATTTTGAGACAACTTCAGATAATATCCAAGTTCGTTCTAGTCAAGATGCACGTTTTCAAATGGGCTTAAGGCTATCTATACGCAAGTAGCTTTGGCAACCTGATATATATTATCATCATATTACCAGGACCTACAGGGCAACTGGTCCTGTAATTCCTCTATCAGTTCATCTGTGTCTTGTTCCTCTGCATCCCACTATCTCCATTATGCCTACTACTATGGTCTCTTTCTGCTCACGCTTATCTACTATCATTACTAATTCCATGGCAAAGGAGCCATTTCTCTGTGAGGCCGAACTGAAGTAGCAGTTTTATTTATTATTAAATTATTTATCTTATTCAAAGTAAAAACCTGGGAGTATTTTATAATCACTTTGACTTCTAAAAGATTCATGGACAGCTTCATACGAAATATTTAAGGCTAGGCAATTTCTGCCAGTACTTATCCATCTAAAACAGGCTTCTAGTATCTATTAGCGTAATGTAGAGAATGCGTGGATTTATTCGTCTGCGTTTTTGTCTTTATTTTCAGTTCATTGCAAGCTTAAGGCTTATAGAAGTTGTTTGATC